TTGTAATCTGCTTGTTTGCTTTGCTCTGTTAGAAATGTAATATAATCTGACTGGTTGTTCTGACACGACAAATATAAATACATTATTATTATTATCTTATTATTTTAATGTCATTTTGATAATGTTGTTGTCTGTTGTATATGTTTTGATTTTATTGCTGTGTTATGTTGTCCGGGCTTGGCCCCACGTAAGCCGCTCCGAGTCCCCATCGGGGAGATGGTGGCGGGGTAGAAATAAAGATTATTATTATTATTATTATTATTATTTTCCCCTTCCAATATTTTGCTATCAAGAGATTGCTCAGGGGGCAGAACAAGGGGATAATACTCATAATATTATACAATTATAGGATAATAATATTCTAATATTATTTATGAAAACATTACTATTCCACCCTTCTCACCCCAAAGAGGACTCGGGGCGGAGCACAGCATCTATACGGCAAGCATCCAGTCCCGGGACATGAATTCATTCTATAAATACATAAACATTGATCATCTGCGTCTAATCTAATTGGCCTGGTCATCTTTCCTATCGCTGCTTGATTGCCCTGTCTCGAAAGCTTGGTCCCACAGCCAAGTTTTGACCATCCTTCTGAAGGACAAGAGGGTACTATAATATAATATAATATATCATAAAATATAATGTATATATGTACATTATATAATATATTGATAACATATAATTATGCTATATATCAGGGGTCCTCAAAGTAAGGCCCTCCAGGGTCATTTGCCCGGCCCTTGCTCAGGGTCAACCTAAGTCTGAAACGACTTAAAAGCACACAACAACAACAACAACAACAACAACAACAACCTCATCACCCAAAAGCAGGCCCACCCTCCCCACTGAAATACCAATAAGTTTATATTTGTTTTAATTGTTCTTCATTTTAATTATTGAATTGTTTTAAGTGTTTTTTGCACTACAAATAAGATATGTGCCGTGTGCATAGGAATTCATTCCTTTTTTCCCAAATTATAATCCGGCCCTCCAACAATTTGAGGGACTGCGACCTGGCCCTCTGTTTAAAAAGTTTGAGGATCCCTGCTATATATCACAATAAATATAATTATAATATAATTTATATAATTATATAAGATAATAATATAATATTATCATTATTTTATTTTATTGTCATGGTTGGTCCTGAAAAGGTCCGTTAGTTGTTTTGCTTGCTTACTTGCATGTTACAAGTCGCTTCTGGAGGGAGAGAATCAGCCGTCTACGAAGACGTTGCCCAGGGAACGCCCGGATGTCTTGCAATCCTGCGAGGAGGCTTCTCTCATGTCTCATGTGCCAGCTGACTGGCACAACCTGGGGATCACAACCAGGCACAGTGAAGGCATCTGCCCTTGTGCTGTGCTACTCTGCTGCTGAGTACGCATGCCCAGTGTGGAACACATCTCACCACGCTAAAACAGTGGATGTGGCTCTTAATGAGACATGCCGCATTATCACGGGGTGTCTGCGCCCCACACCACTGGAGAAATTACACTGCTTAGCCGGCATTGCACCACCTGACATCCGCTGGGAAGGGGCAGCCAATAGTGAAAGGACCAAGGCAGAGACATCTCCAGCCCATCCCCTGTTTGGGTATGATTTAAGATATCAATGACTTAAATCAAGAAATAGTTTTGTAAGATCTACAGAGACACTCGCTGGAACACCTCAGCAAGCGAGAGTCCAAAAGTGGCAGGCTCAAACCCAGCACCTCAACCAATGGCTGATACCCAATGAGAGACTCCCCCCTGGGCACACAGAAGACTGGGCGACTTGGAAGGCGCTGAACAGACTGCGCTCTGGCACCACCAGATGCAGAGCCAGCCTTAAGAACAAGGTGCTACACGAATCCTCAACATGCGAGTGTGGAGAAGAGCCAACCAGAGACCACCTGCTGCAATGCACCCTGAGCCCTTCTTCCACCTGATGCACCAGGGAGGACCTTCTTCTTGCAGCAACTCCAAGGGGCCAGGGACTGGTCAAAGGACATCTAATCAACCATCAAGCATGCAAACTCTGTGTCTTTTGTATGTTTGTTTTGTCAAAAATGTAATACAACTGTTCGGTTGTCTGACACAATAAATAATAATAATAATAATTATTATTATTATTATTATTATTATTATTATTATGCAGTCATGCCAGTGGCCATATGACCTTGGAGGTGTCTATGGACAACGCCGGCTCTTCGGCTTAGAAATAGAGATGAGTATGAACCCCCAGAGTTGGACACGACTAGGCTTAATGTCGGTCTTTCCTACAGAGATGATGATTAGATCTTGACAAAGTAATGCTTCCTCCCTACAACTCATGGAAAGGGAAAGGTTTACCTTTTATTATTATAAATTAAATATATCAGGCATAATGACAAATACGATTATTATTACAACATGATAATAGTCATTAATTTTAAAATTAATTTATAATATGATTTATACAATACAACATTATATCATTATTATTCTTACTGAATGGCTTTAATTGTATATCACAATGCGGCCACAAAGCAAAAACACTATATAGATATATATAGATATATATATATAGAGAGAGAGAGATGAAATAAAGTGAAAATATATATAAAATAAACCAAATCAGCTTAGCAAAATAGAAAGATAAATAAAATATAATGAAATAAAAATAATAATAAAATAAATATGTATAGAAAAAAACAGATCAAAAGGAAATAAACAGTAAGTGAAAAGAAATAAAAAACAATACAGGATAAATTAATGTAATTTAGAAAATCCAAAATCAAATGAAATGAAAATATGAAAAAAAAATTGAAACCATATCTATATATATATATATATATATAGAAATGAAAATAATTATAAGAAAAATAATTGAAATAATTGAAAAGTGAAAAGAATTAGAAACAATAAATTAATGTAATTTAGAAAACTCAATCAAATGAAAGGAAATAAATCAAAATGGAGCGAAATAGTAAAACGAAATGAAAATAAAATAAAGAATCCAACTGAAACATCCAACTCTGTCCCTCCAAAGGAAGAGGGAGAGGGAGAGAGAGGTGTGTGTGTGTGTGTGTGTGTGTGTGTGTGTCTATTTCCTGACCTAGGTTCTTGTGGGTTTTTTCGGGCTATAGGGCCACGGTCTAGAGGCATTCTCTCCTGACGTTTCGCCTGCATCTATGGCAAGCATCCTCAGAGGTAGTGAGGTCTGTTGGAAATAGGAAAAATGGGTTTATATATCTGTGGAAAGACCAGGGTGGGACAAAGGACTCTTGTCTGCTGGAGCTAGGGGGGAATGTTTCAACGGATCAGCTGCAACATTCCCACCTAGCTCCAGCAAGGAAGAGCTGTTTGCCCCACCGCAGCCATTCCACAGATATATTGAAGGGAACTATTTCAATAGGCAAATGTGGTGAATCTAAAAAAGACAATTAGTCTCCGTGAGGTTTGAAGCAAAAAAATCTTTTGATTTCAAGTGCGTCCGCACTGGACAGAAACAGCCAGACAATCAGATGTCTCTCAAAAGGCTGCCTGTCCCATCTGATCTTTCCAATATCGTTCTTATACCCTCTTATTTCCTGCCGTGCCATGAACAGACCATGAACAGATCCACCCCTCTTCCAAACTTCCTTTCAAACACATGTTCTTTCACCTCCTTCCTCTCAACTCTACAAGGACAGAGCCCTTTCCCCGCTTGAGAGCCTCCTGCCTCCATGCTAGGACGGCAGGCAGACCCTTGGGTGTGCTCCTGTCCCTTGTCCTCCCGCTCTGCATCCTGTTCTCTCCCACAACTCTCTTCTTGGCCTTGCCCCTTTCCTATGGCAAAGGACAAGGCTCTTCCTTAGGCTTTCACGGTTTTCAGCATGTTCCCAATAGGCAATAATAATGTCCTAATAAGCTCTATTCACCCCCTTCCATATAAACCCCTTTTCCTGCCTCCAACAGACCTCACTCCCTCCGAGGATGCTTATTGTATTTATTGTATTTATTTCTGCTACGTCTACCCGCCCTTCTCACCCCCGAGGGGGACTCAGGGCGGCTTACAAAAAGAAGGCACAATTCGATGCCCTTCTCCAAATACATACATATATAAAACAATTACAATAATTAAACAATTAACAGGTTAAAACAGCAATATATAACACAATAGCACAACAAAAAACAGCCTCATGGCCAGTGTTTCGAGTTCCATAGGTCCAATACGTTTCGTCATTATTTGCCCATCATTATGGTCTTTCTTTTTAGCTGCCAGAGTTTCCAAAAGCCTGGTCCCACATCCAAGTTTTCAGCTTTTTCCTGAATGAGAGAAGGGAAGTCGCTGATCTAATCTCCCCGGGGAGTGAGTTCCACAGGGGGGCCACCACCGAGAAGGCCCTGCTCCTCGTCCCCGCCAATCTCACTTGTGATAGAGGCGGGGTCGAGAGCAGGGCCTCCCCAGAAGATCTTAGATTCCGAGGTGGGACGTAGAGGGAGATCCGTTCGGACAGATACACTGGGCCGGAACCGTATAGGGTTTTGTAGGTCAAAACCAGCACTTTGAATTGTGCTCGGAATTGGATCGGCAGCCAGTGGAGCTGACACAACAGGGGGGTGGTGTGCTCCCTGTATGACGCTCCGGTGAGCAGTCTGGCTGCCTCCCGCTGGACTAGTTTGTGTTTCCGAACAGTCTTCAAAGGCTACCCCATGTAGAGTGCGTTGCAGTAATCCAGTCGGGATGTGACAAGAGCATGGAGCACCGTGGCCAGATCCGTGCTTGCCATAGATGCAGGCGAAACGTCAGGAGAGAATGCCTCTAGAACATGGCCCTAGAGCCCCAAAAAACCGACAAGAACCGAGTGAATCCAGCCATGAAAGCCTTCGACAAGACATGTTTCCTGGCCCTTCCCCTCTTCCTCCCTCCTCTCCTTTATCTCATATTACCTGTTGTTATTATTAGGAACATATATCTATATGTATATAAGCACCATGCTACTTCATTATGTCAAGGTGTAGATTAATGGGATTCCCTCCGGCGGGGCACTCTACCTGCTTCCTCCTCCTCCTCCTCCTCCTCCTCCTCCTCCTCCTCCTCCTCCCCTCCTCTCGGCCGCAATCCTCCTCCAGGAACTCTCTGTCTCTCCGGAAGGAAGGAAGGAAGGAAGGAAGGAAGCGCGGCGGGCGGATCCCTAGCAAGCGAGCACCTGCCCGGCTCCAAGATGGCGCCCGAAGGAAGGAGGCGGGGCTTCCGCCCAGCCCCAAGATGGCGTCCGAAAGCGGGAGGCGGAGCTTCCGCCCGACCCCAAGATGGCGCCCCAAGGCGGGAGGCGGGGCTTCTGCCCGGCCCCAAGATGGCGCCCGAAGGAAGGAGGCGGGGCCTCTGCCCGGCCCCAAGATGGCGCCCGAAGGCGGGAGGCGGGGCTTCTGCCTGGCCCCAAGATGGCGCCCGAAGGAAGGAGACGGGGTTCTGCCTGGGCCCAAGATGGCGCCCGAAGGCGGGGGGCGGGGCTTCTGCCCGGCCCCAAAATGGCGCCCGAAGCAAGGAGGCGGGGTTCTGCCCGGGCCCAAGATGGCGCCCGAAGGCGGGGGGCGGGGCTTCTGCCCGGCCCCAAGATGGCGCCCGAAGGAAGGAGGCGGGGCTTATGCCCGGCCCCAAGATGGCGCCCGAAGGAAGGAGGCGGGGCTTCCGCCCGGCCCCAAGATGGCGCCCGAAGGAAGGAGGCGGGGCTTCCGCCCGGCCCCAAGATGTCGCCCGAAGGAAGGAGGCGGGGCTTCCGCCCAGCCCCAAGATGGCGCCCGAAGGCGGGAGGCGGGGCTTCCGCCCGACCCCAAGATGGCGCCCGAAGGCGGGAGGCGGGGCTTCTGCCCTCCCTCGACTCCGCAATCAGAATGGAATGATGAGAAGATAGAATAATAGAGTAATGATACAACGAGGAAACAAAACACAAAGCTGTACGGCCCAAGAATGACAGTAAGAGGAACAGGGGTGCTGCGCCTTTAAGAAGAGGAGGAGCGCCCTCCCCTCCTCTTCCCCTCCCTCCGGAAGTAAGTGCGCATGCGCGCCCCTCTCTCCCGCCCCTCGGCGGCCGGAGCCAATCGGGATCCTCCGGGGAGAAGGGGGCGTGGCCTGGTCGTGGGGAAGAATCGGCAGGGAGGGAGGAGCCGCGGGCCTTCGAGCTGCACATGCGCATTGGCGGACGAGGGGCGGGAGGAAGGGGGCGGGCCCATCCGCGCAGGCGCAGAAAGTACGTTTCCTCCCTCCACTGCACATGACATTAGGACTCTTATTATTATGACTATTCTGACTATTATTATTTCATTGATAGAATGACTCTACCGGCGCGTCTATGATAAGATAATACTGTAATAACAATAATAATAATAATAAAATATGGTCTATGATCACGATGCTCATAATCTCTGTATAATGTCTTGTCGAAGGCTTTCCTGGCTGGAATCACTGGGTTGTAGGCTTTTTCGGGCTATAGGGCCATGTTCTAGAGGCATTCTCTCCTGACGTTTCGCCTGCATCTATGGCAAGCATCCTCAGAGGTAGTGCGGTCTATTGGAACTAGGAAAAAGGGTTTAAATATCTGTGGAATGATGTCCACAGTGGGACAAAGGACTCTTGTCTGCTGGAGCCAGGTGTGAATGTTTCAGCTGACCACCTTCATTAGCATTTGAAGGCCTGGCTGAGCCTGGGAAAATCCCCTGTTGAGAGGTGTTAAGATGTGCCTGGTTGTTTCCTCTCTGCTGTTTTGCAGGCTGGTTCAACCACCAGGTGACTTCAACCAGAGAAATCAGCCAGAGCAGAGCACCTGAGGAACCAGCCTGGACACAGCGTATTATTTGAGAGCACAGAAATGGTGGAACACTCCAACAACCACCACGTCAGGCTACACAGAGAAGCCATTGAAATCCACAAGAGGCATGTGGACAATGTCAACAGAAAGGAGGAAACCAGGAAAATAAACAAAATCTGGCTCCCAGTATTAAAAAACTCAAAAATCAACACAGCAAAACAACAGAGAGGAAACAACCAGGCACAGATTAACACCTCTCAACAGAACATTTTCCCAGGCTCAGCCAGGCCTTCAAATGCTAATGAAGGTGGTCAGTTGAAACATTCACACCTAACTCCAGCAGACAAGAGTCCTTTGTCCCACCCTGGTCATTCCACAGATATATAAACCCATTTTCCTAATTCCAACAGACCTCACTACCTCTGAGGATGCTTGCCATAGATGCAGGCGAAACGTCAGGAGAGAATGCCTCTAGAACATGGCCCTATAGCCCGAAAAAACCTACAAGAACCTAATCTCTGTATATCTCTATCTTCTGTTGTGCTATTGTTAATGCTTACTGTTTGTTTTTTGTTTATGAGTTTTATTTTATTGTTTTGTATTATTGTTGTTATTGTTTATTGATGTATTGTGGGCTCGGCCTCATGTAAGCCGCACCGAGTCCCTTGAGGAGGTGGTGGTAGCGAGGTACAAATAAAGTTTTATTGTTGTTGTTTTTGTTGTTGTTGTTGTTGTTGTTATTATTCTGTCTATATCTCTATCTCCTCCCTCTCTATCTTCAATCAGGGCTAATCAATAAAGAAAACCCCAAAAGGACAAGGAAGGGTGTCCAGAATGGTGGGAGTTGGAGTCCAACACACCCGGGCGGCCCAGGTTGGCCCTCGCCTGGAATGATGCACCCAGAAAAGCCACAGAGAAAGGATGAGGGCCTTGTTCGGCCACTGTGCCATAATGAACCCTAGCGTGTCTTTCTGCTGGTCATCCTTGGGGCGTTGACCATGGGCCACTTAGAGCAGCGCTTCTCAACCTGGGGGTCGCGAGGGGGGTGTCAGAGGGATCACCAAAGACCATCAGAAAGTGCAGTGTTTTCTGGCGGCCATGGGGGTTCTGTGTGCCAAGTTTGGCCCAATTCTATCCTTGGTGGGGTTCACAATGCTCTGTGATTGTAGGTGTACTATAAATCCCAGCAACTACAACTCCCGAATACCAAGATCTATTTTCCCCAAACTCCACCAGTGTTCACATTTGGGCATATGGAGTATCTGCGCCAAATTTGGTCCAGATCCATCATGGCTTGAGTCCACTGTGCTCTCTGGATGTAGGTGAACTACAACTCCCAAAGTCAAGATCAATGCCTACCAACCCCTTCTAGTGTTTTCTGTTGTTCATGGGAGTTCTGTGTGCCAGGTTTGCTTCCATTCTATCACTGATGGAGTTGAGAATGCTCTTTGATTGTAGTTGAACTATAAATCCCAGCAACCACAACTCCCAAATAATAATAATAATAATAATAATAATAATAATAATAATCTTTATTTATACCCCGTCACCACCTCCCCGATGGGGACTCGGAGCAGCTTACATGAGGCCAGGCCCAAACAACAATTACAATGAAGAAAACCAAGACGCAACCAAAAACGCAAACAGTAAACAATAACATCATACCAAACGTTTGGACCACCAAACGCAGCGTTGCCCAAACACGAATCAAGGAACATGAAAGGCACTGCGGACTACTTCAGCCAGAGAAGTCGGCCATAGCAGAGCACCTGAGGAACCCACCTGGACACAGCATATCATTTGAGAACTCAGACATGCCGGAACACTCCAACAACCACCAGGTCAGGCTACACAGAGAAGCCATTGAAATCTCCAGGAAGCATGTGGACAGTTTCAACAGAAAGGAGGAAACCATGGAAATGAACAAAATCTGGCTACCAGTATTAAAGGACTCAAAACAGCAAAACAACAGAGGGGAAACAAACAGGCACATCTAATCACCTCTCAACAAAAGGTTCCCCCAGGCACTGCCAGGCCATCCACTGCTAACCGAGGTGGTCAGTTGAAACATTCCCACCTAGCTCCAGCAGACAAGAGTCCTTTGTCCCACCCTGGTCATTATTCCACAGGTATATAAACCCTTTTTCCTACTTCCAACAGACCTCACTACCTCCGAGGATGCTTGCCATAGATGCAGGCGAAACGTCAGGAGAGAATGGCCAGATGGCCCGAAAAAACCTACAACAACCCAGTAAATAAATACGAGTTTTGTATAAATATATAACATATACACTTATATCAAATATATAACATACATTTTATATACATATATATTATATATATAATATAATATTGTTGTTGTTCATTCGTTCAGTCGTCTCCGACTCTTCGTGACCTCATGGACCAGCCCACGCCAGAGCTCCCTGTCGGCCGTTACCCCCAGCTCCCTCAAGGTCAGTCCAGTCACTTCAAGGATGCCATCCATCCATCTTGCCCTTGGTCGGCCCCTCTTCCTTTTGCCTTCCACTTTCCCCAGCATCATTGTCTTCTCCAGGCTTTGCTCCCTCCTCATGATGTGGCATTCAAAGGACTTCCACTTTCCCTCTCGTCTCCTTCCCTCCAGTGAGCTTTAGTCGGGCTTTCTTTCCTGGAGGATGGACTGGTTGGATCTTCTCGCAGTCCAAGGCACTCTCAGCACTTTCCTCCAACACCACAGCTCAAAAGCATCTCTTCCTTCGCTCAGCCTTCCCTAAGGTCCAGCTCTCACATCCGTAGGTGACTACAGGGAAGACCATGGCTTTGACTAGGCAATGGATCTTGGTTGCCAGTCTGATGTCTCTACTCTTGACTATTTTATCGAGACTGGACATTGCTCTCCTCCCAAGAAGGAAGCGTCTTCTGATTTCCTGGCCACAGTCTGCATCTGCAGTAATCTTTGCACCTAGAAATACAAAGTCTGTCACGGCCTCCACGGTTTCTCCCTCTATTTCAGTTTTCAATCAGTCTGGTTGTCATAATCTTGATTTTTGTTGTTGTTGTTTAACTGCAACCCAGCTTTTGCACTTTCTTCTTTCACCTTGATTAGAAGACTCTCAGCTCCTCCTTGCTTTTGGCCATCAAAGTGGTATCATCTGCATATCTTAAGGTTGTTAATGTTTCTTCCAGCCATTTTCACCCCAGCTTTGCATTCATCCAGCCCCGCACATCCTCGCATGATGTGTTCTGCATACAAGTTAAAAAGGTTGGGTGAGAGGATGCAGCCTTGCCGGACGCCTTTCCCAATCTTGAACCCGTCTCCTGTTCCGTGGTCAGTTCTGACTGTTGCTACTTGGTCCTTGTACAGATTCCTCAAGAGAGAGACAAGGTGGCTTGGGATGCCCATCCCACTAAGAACTTGCCACAATTTATTATGATCCACACAGTCAAAGGCTTTAGAATAGTCAATGAAGCAGAAGTAGATGTTTTTCTGAAACTCCCTGCCTTTCTCCATTCTCCAGCATCCGGATATTGGCAATCTGGTCTCTCGTTCCTCTGCCTTTTCTAAACCCAGCTTGAACGTCTGGCAACTCTCGCTCCATGTATTGCTGGAGTCTTCTTTCTTGCAGGATCTTGAGCATTACCTTACTGGCATGAGAAATAAGGGCCACTGTACGGAAGTTGGAGCAGTCTTTCGCATTTCCCTTTTTTGGTATGGGGATATAAGTTGATTTTTTCCAGTCTGATGGCCATTCTTGTGTTTTCCATATTTGCTGGCAAGTGGCATGCATCACCTTGACAGCATCATCTTTTAAGATTTTAAACAGTTCAGCTGGGATCCCGTCGTCTCCTGCTGCCTTGTTGTTAGCAATGCTTCTTAAGGCCCATTCAACCTCACTCCTCAGGATGTCTGGTTCTAATTCATTCACCACACCGTGAAAACTATCCTCAATATTATTATCCTTCCTATACAGATCTTCTGTATAGTCTCGCCACCTTCTCTTGATCTCTTCAGCTTCTGTTAGGTCCCTGCCATCTTTGTTTCTTATCATACCAATTTTTGCCTGAGATTTACCTCCAATGTTTCTAATTTTCTGGAAGAGGTCTCTTGTCCTTCCTATTCTGTTGTCTTCTTCCACTTCCATGCATTGCTTATTTAAAAATAGTTCCTTATCTCTTCTGGCTAACCTCTGGAATTTCGCATTTAACTGGGCATATCTCCCCTTATCACTGTTTCCTTTTGCTTTCCTCCTTTCTTGGGCTACTTCCAGTGTCTCAGCAGACAGCCATTTTGCCTTCTTGGTTTTCTTTTTCTTTGGGACGTACTTTGTTGCCGCCTCCTGAACAATGTCTCGGACTTCTGTCCATAGTTCTTCTGGGACTCTGTTTACTAAATCTAGTCCTTCAAATCTGTTCTTCACTTCCACTGTATATTCGCTAGGAATGTTAGTGAGATCATATCTAACTGGTCTGTGTATTTTCCCTTGTCTCTTTAGTTTTATTCTAAATTGGCAATAAGAAGTTCGTGATCTGAGCTACAGTCAGCCCCAGGTCTTGTTTTCACCGACTGGATGGATGTCCGCCACCTTTGGCTGCAAAGGATGTAGTCAATCTGATTTCGGTGTTGACCGTCTGGTGAGGTCCATGTGTAAAGCCGTCTTTTAGGTTGTTGGAAGAGAGTATTCGTTATACACAGCGAGTTTTCCTGGCAAAATTCTATCAGCCTGCGTCCCGCTTCATTATATATTATATTATATAATTATATTAAAATTATATAAAATTATATAAAATAATTATCCCAGAATTAATTCTGTACGGCAAGCATCCTCAGAGGTTGTGAGGTCTGTTGGAAGTAGGAAAATGGATTTATATATCTTTGGAATAATGACCAGGGTGGGACAAAGGACTCTTGTCTGCTGGAGCTGGGTGTGAATGTTTCAACTGACCACCTCGGTTAGCAGTGGATGGCCTGGCAGTGCCTGGGGGAATCTTTTGTTGAGAGGTGATTAGATGTGCCTGATTTTTTGTATTCATTTCGGGAGGGAGTTCAAGGCGCCTTCCTTCCAAGAGGGGGCGCTTCCCATTCAAACCAGCCCCGGGCCTTCGGCGCGCGCGCCCATTGGCCGCCTCCTTTCCCCAGCCCTTCCTTGATTGGCGGAGACGCAGGGAGCGCTCTGACGTCAGAATAGGAGTCCTTCGCGCCTGCGCGGGGCTGGGAAAAGAACTGCAACTCCCAGCATGCCCCGCTGGGGGCGAGGCGGAGTGACGCCGGCTGCGTAGCCGCGATGCGCGCGCCCTTCCTCCGCTTCAGAACTACGGCGCCCGGCATGCCTCGCGCGGGCTCAGGGAAGCGCTTCCGGCTGGGCCAGGGCCTCGGTGGTAAACAACCAGGTAAGCAGGGGAGGAAAGGGGGGCAGGCGCGGCTCGGCAAGCATCCCCAAAGGTAGCAAGGTCTGCTGGAAGTAGGAAAATTGGGTTTGTAGTATATCTGTGGAAAGACCAGGGTGGGGCAAAGGACTCTTGTCTGCTGGAGCTAGGTGGGAATGTTTCAGCTGACTACCTTGATTAGCATACAATGGGCTGACTGTGCCTGGAGCAAACTCTTCTTGAAAGGGTCTGTTGGAAGTAGGAAAATTGGGTTTATATATCTTTGGAATGATGACCAGGGTGGGGCAAAGGACTCTTGTCTGTTGGAGATAGGACAATGGGTTTATATATTATTATTATTACTATTATTAATGGTGCTTTTACCCCGCCCTTCTCAACCCCCGGAGGGGGACTCAGGGCGGCTTACAAAAAAGGCAGAATTCGATGCCTATACATAATAATACATAGTATACAAAAGTATAAAAGAACAATATACAAAATGTAATTAAAACGATTATCACAATAAAACATCAGCACTGGTACCTAAGACATTGTATAAACATCATATAAAAACATCATATAAAAGTCATTCTTAAAATCAGCATTTCGTTTCCAGAGTTCCACATGTCCAATCCGTTAGTCATTTCTTAGCCATCAATGGAGTTCTTCTTTATCTGCCAGATTGTCCAAATGCCTGGTCCCAGATCCATGTTTTTAGTTTTTTCCTGAAAGAAAGGAGCGAAGTTGCAGATCTGATTTCCCCGGGGAGAGAATTCCACCGGCGGGGGGCCACCACCGAGAAGGCCCTGCTCCCCGTCCCCGCCAATCTCACCTGTGATAGAGGCGGGGTCGAGAGCAGGGCCTCCCCAGAAGATCTTAGACTCCGAGGTGGGACGTAGAGGGAGATCCGTTCGGACAGATACACTGGGCCGGAACCGTACAGAGTTTTATAGGTCTGTGGAATGACCAGGGTGGGGCAAAGGACTCTTGTCTGCTGGAGCTAGGTGAGAATGTTTCAGCTGACTACCTTATTTATTTATTTATTATTTACTTTGCTTATATACCGCTGTTCTCATCCTGAGGGCGACTCACAGCGGTGTACAACATAGAAGGACAAGGTTCAAAATTCAACACGATCTAAAATATCAATCTAGCAATAATCAAAAACATCATCAACAAAAACACAACAATATCAAAATACAAAAAGCCATTCGCGTCGTCTCCTCGTCTAAACCACAATCCAGTCTCATTTTCCGTTGTTCCATTCCTGTCGTCATTACCAATCATTGCACTTCTTGTTCGAACGCCCTCCTGAACAGCCAAGTCTTCAATTTCCTGCGGAATACCCTCAGGGAAGGAGCCAGTCTGATGTCCACGGGAAGGGTGTTCCACAGTCGAGGAGCCACCACCGAGAAGGCCCTGTCTCTCGTCCCCTCCAGGCGTGCCTGTGAGGCAGGCGGGATCGCGAGCAGGGCCTCCCCGGACGATTTCAAAGTCCTGGTGGGCTCATAGGAAAAGATGCGGTCAGATAGGAATCTTGGGCCGGAACCGTTTAGGGCTTTATAGGCCAACGCCAGCACCTTGAATTGAGCCCGGTAGCAAATCGGCAGCCAGTGGAGCTGGTACAACAAGGGCGTTGTATGCTCCCTGCGTCCTGCTCCTGTTAGTATCATGGCTGCCACACGTTGGACCAATTGAAGCTTCCGGCCCGTCTTCAAGGGCAACCCCACGTAGAGAGCGTTGCAGTAGTCTAAACGGGATGTAACCAGAGCGTGGACTACCGTGGCCAAGTCAGACTTCCCGAGGTATGGGAAGTTGTTCATTAGCATTTGAAGGCCTGGCTGAGCCTGGGAAATTCTCTTGCTGAGAGGTGTTAAGGTGTGCCTGGTTGTTTCCTCTCTGCTGTTTTGCTGCTGTAATTTTAGAGTTTTTTAATACTGACAGCCAGATTTTGTTCATTTTCATGGTTTCTTCCTTTCTGTTGAAATTGTCCACATGCTTCTTGTGGATTTCAATGGCTTCTCTGTGTAGTCTGACATGGTGGTTGTTGGAGTGGTCCAGCATTCACACCTAGCTTCAGCAGAGAAGAGCTCTTTGCCCCACCCCAGCCATTCCACAGATACATAAACCCATTGTCCTAATTCCAACAGACCTCACTACCTCTGAGGATACTTGCCATAGATGCAGGCGAAATGTCAGGAGAGAATGCCTCTAGAACATGGCCCTATAGCCCGAAAAAACCTACAAGAACCTAGTGATTCCAGCCATGAAAGCCTTCGACAATACATTCATGTATTTATTTGTATCCTGCTTTTCTCCCAAGAAGGGTGAGGCTCCAAGGCCACAACAGCAAGGATCAACATACACACACACACACACACACACACACACACTCAGCTCCCACAAAAACACCATCATACCCAGGTAAACAGAATGCACACAGTACCTGGAATATTGTGTCCAATTCTGGGCACCACAATTCAAGAGAGATCTTGACTCTAAGCTGGAATACTGTGTCCAGAGAAAGAGGGCGACTCAAAGGATCAAGGGTCTGGAGAACAAGCCCTATGAGGAGCGGCTTAAGGAGCTGGGCATGTTTAGCCTGAAGGATGAGAGGAGACAGGATGAGGGCCATGTATAAATATGTGAGAGGAAGCCGCAGGGAGGAGGAGGAGGGAGCAAGCTTCTTTACTGCTGCCCTGGAGGGGCCTCAGGCTGCCAGGAAGGGTGGGAGTAGCAGTCCACAACTCTTAGAGGGAGGCTTAGCTCATAGGGCCCCAGAGTTCAAGAGAGACATTGACTCTAAGCTGGAAGGGGCCCAAGGGAAGAGGGAGACTCAGGCAGTCAAAGGCCGGGATATTGACTCTAAGCTGTAATACTGTGTCCAGAGGAGGGCGACTAAAACGATCAAGGGTCTGGAGAACAAGCCCTATGAGGAGCGGCTTAAGGAGCTGGGCATGTTTAGCCTGAAGAAGAGAAGGCTGAGAGGAGATATGATAGCCATGTATAAATATGTGAGAGGAAGCCACAGGGAGGAGGAGGGAGCAAGCTTGTTTTCTGCTTCCCTGTAGACTAGGACGCAATGGAACAATGGCTTCAAACTACAAGAGAGGAGATTCCATCTGAACACGAGGAAGAACTTCCTGACTGTGAGAGCCGTTCAGCAGTGGAACTCTCTGCCCCGGAGGGAGTGTGGTGGAGGCTCCTTCTTTGGAAGCTTTTAAATAAACAGAGGCTGGATGGCCATCTGTCAGGGGTGCTTTGAATGCAATATTCCTGCTTCTTGGCAGAATGGGGTTGGACTGGATGATGGCCCAGGAGGTCTCTCCCAACTCTTCTAGGATTCTATTATTATTATTATTATTATTATTATTATTATTATTATTATTAAGCAGAGGCTGGATGGCCATCTGTCAGGGGTGCTTTGAATGCAATATTCCTGCTTCTTGGCAGAATGGGGTTGGACTGGATGATGGCCCAGGAGGTCTCTCCCAACTCTTCTAGGATTCTATTATTATTATTATTATTATTATTATTAAGCAGAGGCTGGATGGCCATCTTTCAGGGGTGCTTTGAATGCAATATTCCTGCTTCTTGGCAGAATGGGGTTGGACTGGATGATGGCCCAGGAGGTCTCTTCCAACTCTAGGATTCTATTATTATTATTATTATTATTATTATTATTATTATTATTAAGCAGAGGCTGGATGGCCATCTGTCAGGGGTGATTTGAATGCAATATTCCTGCTTCTTGGCAGAATGGGGTTGGACTGGATGATGGCCCAGGAGGTCTCTCCCAACTTTAGGATTCTAGGATTCTGTGAGTAGATCCCAGATAGAAACAAATTAATAAATTAGGATCTATATCATGATTCTGAACTTGTTGACCGAAATGAGTGGGGTGAGCTCCTGTCATTAACCCCAGCTTTTGCCAACCTAGCAGTTTGAAAACATTCAAATGTGAGTAGATCAATAGGTACTGCTCTGGCGGGAAGGGAACAGCACTCCATGCAGTCATGCCCGTGGCCACATGGCCTTGGAGGTGTCTACAGACATAGCCGGCTCTTTGGTTGAGAAATGGAGATGAGCACGGTGGTCAGTTGAAACGTTCAAACCTAGTTCCAACAGACAAGTGTCCTTTGTCCCACCCTGGTCATTATTCCACAGATATATAAACTCTTTTTGCCTAGTTCCAACAGACCTCCCAACCTCTGAGGACGCTTGCCATAGATGCAGGCGAAACGTCAGGAGAGAATGCCTCTAGACCATGGCTATACAGCCCGAAAAAACCTACAGCAACCCAGTGATTCCGGCCATGAAAGACTTCGACAATACAGCCTACTGGCTGTTAGGAATTGTGGGAGTTGAAGTCCAAAACACCTGGAGGGAGGGCCGAAGTTTTCCCCTGCCTGCTTGAGATCGATGGTGTTTCTTGTTCTGGAAACCCCAGGTGGCTGCTTGCGTGGCTCTGACACCCGTGGCGTTCTCCTTCCAGATTCCGCTTGGAGCCCAGGCTGGAGATTTGCGCAGCCGAGCCCCCCCAAGGAGGCCGAGGCCATGTCCCTCTCCGAGTGCTACATTGCGGTCAAGCTGGCCGACCAGCCCTTGGCTCCCAAATCCATCCTGAGGTTGCCGGAGACGGAGCTGGGGGAGTGTCCCCTGGGCGGCTGCAGCATCTCCTACCTCAAGCAGCTCATCACCGGGAAACTACAAGAGTCTGTTCCTGACCCAGAGCTCATCGGTAAGCGGCTCTGCTCACTTGCTGCCCCATTAGAGTATATTTTACCCAGCCTGGCCCCACATAACTGGGACTTGGTGTGGTTAGCAAAAGCATATTTAAAGATGCAAACATTATGCAGTAACATAACTAGGCTGCTGTTGATCAATGTCAGACAATTAATCTTACACTATGTAACAAAATTTGGGGAAAAAATCTGTTCCTGGTTTGAAAGTATTATTTCCCGTTTAATTGTGTAGTACGTACTTTGAAAGTAGTTGTTATCTTCCAAAAACTTTGTTTTTGTGGCTGCCATTTTTTAAAAAAATTCTGTCACGTGGTTTATTAATCAGTACATGAGTTGGTATTGTAATTTGATTTTCGGGCTTGGCCTCATGCAAGCTGCTCCGAGTCCCTGTTGTTGGGGAGATGGTGGCGGGGTATAAATAAAGGTTACTATTATTATTATTATTATTATTATTATTATTATTATTATTACTATTATTATTATTATTACTATTATTGGTCATGCCATTGTCTTCCTCAGTTTTGCTACAGTTCTGAATCGTAATGTAAATCTCTGACATGCAGGACCTTTCTTTCATTCACTGGACCAAATTTGGCACAAATAAATACGCCCAAATTTCAATACTTGGGTGGGGGGGGGGGAGATTGATTTTGTAATTTGGGAGTTGTAGTTGCTGGGATTTATAGTTCACCTACAATCAAAGAGCATTCTGAACTCCACCAACGATGGAATTGAACCAAACTTGGCACACGGAACTCCCATGACCAACAGAAAATACTGGAAAGGTTTGGTGGGCATTGACCTTGAGTTTGGGAGTTGTAGTTCACCTACATGCAGAGAGCAGTGGAATCAATCAAAGAAGGATCTGGATCAAACTTGGCACGGATTCTCAATATGCCCACATGTGAACACTGGTGGAGTTTGGGGAAAATAGGCCTTGATATTTGGGAGTTGTAGTTGCTGGGATGTATAGTTCACCTACAGTCAAAGAGCATTCTTAACTGCGCCAATGGTAGAATTGGGCCAAACTTCCGACACAGAACCCCCATGCCTTGAAGGGACTCGCTGGCAAGAGCCTCCCTCCAACCTCGCATGCTCCTTTTTCTGGTGGTCTTTGGCGACCCCTCTGGCACCCCCTCGCGACCTCCCCAGGGACCCAACACCCAGGCTGAGAAACACTGACTTTTTTTTTGTCGTGTCAGGAGCAAGTCGCTTCTGGTGTGAGAGAATTGGCCGTCTGCAAAGAGAAGCCAACCACATCAAATCATCCAGGCGTCCCCTGGGCAACGTCCTTGCAGACGGCCAATTCTCTCACACCAGAAGCGACTTGCTCCTAACATGACAAAAAAAAAGTCCCCAAGTTAGGAACAAGAGAGGTTCTGTGGGTTTGTTCTTAAGTTGAACTTGTATGTAAGTCGGAACAGGTACATTTCTTGAGTGTATCTGTAGCCAAAAATATTGATTTTTTAAAAAAGGTTTTGAGTAGCACAGGGAAGGGTCAACGCCCCTGAAGCGTGGGTCCTGCTGCCTGCGTCCTGCTCAGATTCCGCCTTACTTTCTGTCCCTGTGATAACTGGATTCTGGCTTGTTGTGGAAACAAGGATTGCTGAGAAAGCGTCATTGGAGACCACTTTCCCCCATGATAATAATTCTCCCAGGAGTGGATTTCTCTCCCTTCCTGTTGTCTCACCCCTGTTCTTAACTATGAGTCCTTTGCAAGTCGGATGGTTGTGACTTGGGGACGGCCTGTCTTGGAAGGTAGAGTAGACCAAACAGATCTCCCGCCATCCATCATTCTACCCTGAGATCTCTTTTCAGACCTGATCTATTGTGGTCGGAAGCTGCGGGACGACCAAACGCTGGAATTCTACGGCATCCAGTCGGGCTCCACGGTCCACGTCCTCCGAAAGTCGTGGCCGGAACCAGAACAGAAACCAGGTACGGCCCAGTCTCTCCCAGCAAGGTGGGGATATTTGGGAGTTTGGGGGAAGGGGCAGATCGTAGTACAAGGTAGAGGACAGGGGTCGAACTTGTGGCCCTCCAGGTGTTGGGACTCCAACTCCCACAAGCCCTAGCCAGCTTGCCCAATGGCCGGGAATTCTGGGAGCTGGAGTCCAAGGCAGCTGAAAGGCCACAAGTCTGGCACCACCAAACCACAACAACCTTTAAGCAGCAAGCCTTCCTTTCCAGGCATTTCCTTTTCTTGAGGAAGTGAACCGTGTCGAGTGAGCCAGCTCCATTCGGACCTGGATCTACCGGCCACAGCTACAATTTCTGTTTAATGTTGGACAAAGGGGAAAGGTTTCCCCTTGACATTAAGTCTAGTTGTGTCCGACTCTGGGACTCGGGTGCTCCTCTCCATTTCTAAGACGAAGAGCCGGCGTTGTCCATAGACACTTCCAAGGTCATGTGGCCGGCATGACTGCACCGTTACCTTCCCGCAGAAGTGGTACCTATTGATCTACTCATATTTGCATGTTTTCAGACTGCTGGGTTGGCAGTTGCTGGTGCTAACAGCGGGAGCTCACCCCGCTCCCCGGATTAGAACCGCCGACCTTTTGGTCAGCAAGTTCAGCAGCTCAGCGGTTTCACCCGCTGCGCCACCAAGGTCTCCCTTTAACATTATGTAGAGAGAACAATGATCGAACTCAGTTGAGCTGGATCACTGAGATATCTTCGCTATATATATTTCTCTGTTTTCATCCATTATTTTCTGGGCTCTTGGACTGCAATCAATCATGTTCGATGAACTAAAAATAGGAAGTGACGTTCTGGTTATTTTTCTAAAGAGATAAACATTGATAGTTCCTTGCGCTCAGGTGAGCCGACGAGCAAAGGAGGCTTGTTTTTATTTCCCCCAATCTCTGGCTTCTGAGAACAGGCGCTTTTGAGGGCTTTAGCACAGCAGGATAATCAGCAATCTGCCAGAACTCTTGCCAACTGGAAGGCTGACAGTTCGAAAGCTGGGTCAGGGTGAGCGCCTGACCTTTAGCCCAGCTCCTGCCGACCCAGCAGTTCGAAAACAAATGCGAGTTGATAAATAGGATTAAAGTGGGGAGGTGTTTTAGGCATGTTGTTTAGATCAGAAAAAAGAGGAAGTTTACAAACCAAGGAAGCTCTTTCTTCTTCGGGAAGGAGACGGGCGTCGGCACCCCCCTGTGGCCAGAACCGAGAACGGCCTCCAAAGGTGCCGAGAGATGGGGAAAAGCCTCGGTCTTCCTCTGTCTGTTGCCTGTCTTGTCTTTGTGTAATCGGCATTGGTTGACTGCCGTACCTGTGTTCGGGGATGCGCCCTGAGTCCCCCGCAGGGTGGGAAGGGCGGAATATAAATACTGCAAGTAAATAATAGACAAGGCAGTTGTGCCCAAAGGCTCCCGTTCCTCCTTCCGTGAATGCTGAGTGAGAAATGGCTCCGCGAACTGGCACGCAATGCGCTTCAGCCTGGGGGTGTCCCAAGGCCAAGGGGCCCCCGCTCTGCGTGCCTTGCATTTCTGGGCCTTTGGATCTTGGCGTTATGAGTGGGATGTTGCCGAGTTATTCTAGCTGATTGAGGAGAGTTCCTGATAGGCTGGAATGTGTCCAGAGGAGGGAGACTAATATGATCAAGGGTCTGGAGTACAAGCCCTATGAGGAGCGGCTTAAAGAGCTGGGCATGTTTAGCCTGCAGAAGAGAAGGATGAGAGGAACATGATGAGAGCCATGTACCAATATGTGAGAGGAAGCCACAGGGAGGAGGAGGGAGCAAGCTTCCTTGGAGACTAGGACGCAATGGAACCATGGCTTCAAAGTACAAGAGAGGAGATTCCACCTGAACATGAGGAAGAACTTCCTGACTGTGAGAGCCGTTCAGCAGCGGAACTCTCTGCCCCGGGGTGTGGTGGAGGCTCCTTCTTTGGAGGCTTTTCAACAGAGGCTGGATGGCCATCTGTCAGGGGTGCTTTGAATGCGATTTTCCTGCTTCTTGGCAGAATGGGGTTGGACTGGATGGTGGCCCACCAGGTCTCTCTCAACTCTAGGATTCTGTGATTCCTGACGGTTTCCCTCTTCTGCCCTCAGAACCCGTGGACAAAGTGGCGGCCGTGAGGGAGTTCCGGGTTCTGCACACCGCTTTGCACAGCAGCCCCGTCTTCAGAGACTCGGTGAGTGTCTCCGACTCGTGTTTTCCTTTTCATGGGAAGATGGGGAGCATCCGATGGCAGGAGCGCTCATGTTAAAAACACCCCTTCACAGCATTTCTTGCACACTCTTTCTGTGTTGGGCTGCTGTGAGTTTTCCGGGATGTGTGGCCATGTTCCCGAAGCATTCTCTCCTGACATTTTGCCCACTTCTATGGCAGGCTTCCTCAGAGGTTGAGGGGTGTGTTGGAAACTAGGCACGTGGGGTTTATGTCCAGGGTGGGAGAAAGAACTCTTGCCTGCTTGAAGCAAGTGTGAATGTTGCCATTGGCTCCCTTGATTAACATTTAATGGCCTTGCAGCTTTAAAGCCTGGCTGGTTGCTGCCTGGGGGAATCCTTTGTTTAGATGTGCCAGCTGGCCCTGATTGATGCAGGCCTGGAACTCCCCTGTGTTTCCCCCTGTGGGCTTCCTTCCAGCCTTTCTTTCTTGCCCACCCTTTCTGGGTTGTTTCCCCCCTGCAGGTCTTCAAGATGCTGGGAAACAAGGAATCCCTGGATCAGATTATAGTCGCTACGCCCGGACTGAGCAGTGACCCCATTGCGTTGGGTGAGTAGCGTCAAACAAGGCTTGCAAGGGTGCAGTTCCAACAAGGGCAGGGCTTTCAATGAGAGTACCCATCATCATCATCATCATCATCATCACCATCCTCCTCCTGCATCAGCTCCTTGGTTCAGTATATTCCGTTGACAAGTGGAGTGCCCTTGATTGAGTGACGTCTTGAGGGCTGACCTCCGTCACCTCCCTGCTTGAGTGGGCGGCAGTTGCCGCAAGCGATGGAGATCCGTTCTCCCGTTGTCGCAGATGCAGCGTGGTGGTGCGTATGCGCTCTCTCTCTCCACCGATCTCCGGCGTGACGCTCGGAAGCCGGGCCCGTTCTGGCGCTGCTCACAGTGGCTTCTGTTTCTGTCTCTCGACAGGCGTCTTGCAGGATAAAGACCTCTTCTCTGTGTTTGCTGACCCCACCATGCTGGACACGTAAGTCTGCCAGGCGGCTGAGGCCTCAGCACGTTGTGAGATTGGACGGTGATTTATGACGGGTGTTTTTCTTTTAAAACATATATGGGTTCTTTGTGGTTCCAACGATGTCCAGGAATAGAACGCAAGCCATGTGATCAACCCTCCTGTTCAAGGAGCTCCACTGGCTGCTGCTCATTTTCCGGTCCCAATTCAAGGTGCAGGTGCTTACCTACAAAGCCCTGAACTGTTTGGGACCCGCCTACCTGCGTGACCGCATCTCTGTATACGAACCCACACAATCTCTTCGATCATCTGGAGAGGCCCGGCTCGCGATCCCACCTCCATCGCAAGCGCGATTGGTGGAGACGAGGGAAGAGGGCCCTCTCGGTGGTGGCCCCTCAACTCTGGAACTCTCTCCCTAAGGACATCAGGCATGCCCCAACGCTGGCAGTTTTCAGGAGGAGCTTGAAGACGTGGTTGTTCCAGTGTGCCTTCCCAGAATAAGGAAACTCCAAGCAAGATGTCCCCAAATGCACTTTACTAGAGATCCAGGTTGTCTGCACGCCCCACCCCCCTCCAAATACCTATTGCCCTTTTCACCTTTTCACCTGGTCATGCCCAGCATATTTTTAAATTTTAATTATTACATTTGGCCCTGCCATAGATTTTAATGCGTTGTGGTATGTTGTTAATGTTTATTGCTTTGTTTTGAGTTCTTTTGGTGTTGTATTGTTGTTGTTTTTACTGATGTATGTGCGCTCGGCCTCTTGTAAGCCACACCGAGTCCTCCGGGAGATGGTAGCGGGGTATAAATAAAGGATTATTATTATTATTATTATTATTATTATTATTATTATTATTATTACTATTATTATCTCAGCGCCAGAATATGCATGCCCAGTGTGGAATATGTCTCACGGCGTTAAAACAGTGGGTGTGGCTCTTAATGGGACAGGACGCCTATGCCCCACACCACTGGAGAAATTATACTGAGTTGTTCTAGAGGCATTCTCTCCTGACGTTTCGCCTGGATCTACGGCAAGCATCCTCAGAGGTAGTGAGGTCTGTTGGAACTAGGAAAAAAGGGTTTATATATCTGTGGAATAATGACCAGGGTGGGACATAGAGCTCTTCTCTGCTGGAGCTAGGCGTGAATTTTACAACTGACCACCTTGATTAGCACTATCTCTGAGTTTAGCTGGTATTGCACCACCTGACATCTGTCGAGAAGTAGCAGCCAGTAATGAAGGGACCAAGGCAGTGACATCTCCGTCCCATCCTCTTTTTGGATACCAGACAGAAAGCCAACACCTTAAATGAAGAAATAATAATAATAATAATTATTATAATAAAACTTTATTTATATACCGCTCTATCTCCCCAAGGGGACTCAGAGTGGTTCGCAGGTAAAAATCACAGAACATACAAAGTAAAAAATAGTTTTCTAAGATCTACTGAGATACTTGGAGGAACACCTCAGCAAGCGAGAGTCCAAAAGTGGCAGGCTCAAACCCGGAACCTCAATCTGTGGCTGAGACCAGATGAGAAACTCCCTCCTGGGCACACAAAAGAGTGGACGACCTGGAAGGCGCTGAACAGACTGCGCTCTGGCACCACGAGATGCAGAGCCAACCTTCAGAAATGGGGCCACAAAGTGGAGTCCACGACATGCGAGTGCGGGGAAGAGCCAACCACAGACCACCGACTGCAATGCACCCTGAGCACAAGGGAGGACCTTCTCACAGCCACACCAGAGGCGCTCCCCGTGGCCAGCTTCTGGTCAGAGGAAATCTAGCAGAATGCCAAGTTTTGAACTTTGTTTGTGTTTTTAAATACATTGCAACTGTACCCGCAATTCGCTTCTGACGCGATAAACAAGCCCCAGATGCTTTGTATTTGTATTTATTCTTTTGGGTGGTTTGGCTCTTCTGAGGGTGAACCTCCTGACAGAAGGAGTTGTTAGTTGGCAGGAATTCCTGCAGAACTTCCCCATTCGGCACGGCTGAAGCGGAGGGCGTCTGCTCAGTGGGGCATTGAGGCCGGAGAGCCCCGAGACCCCAACTCAGCTCCTTACTTGCCTTCTGTGCTTTGCAACGGTCCCTTCTGCCCTTCTCCCTAGGCTCATCCCGACCCACCCGGCCTTGGTGAACGCCATCATCCTGGTCCTGCACTCGGTGGCCGGAAGCACCCCCTTGCCCACCGGGGAGAGCTCCTCGCGCAGCAGCGGCAGCGGCAGTGGCGGGCCTTCCGGCTCCTTCCGGGACATGCCGGGTAAGATTGAGGCCGACAGAAAACCGTGGGAAGGGGCGCGCCTGCGGGATGGCAGAGGGGGGAGGAACAAGCAGGTGGCTTAGAGTTTAGGGCCCTTCTACACTGCCATATAATCCGGATTATCTGCTTTGAACTGGATTATATGAGTCCACACTGCCATAGGATCCAGTTCAAAGCAGAATGGGTGACACCTGGCTCGAGAGCAGTACGTGTGAAAAAGATCTTGGAGTCCTCGTGGAGAGGAAGGGGAACATGAGCCAGGAATGTGATGTGGCGGCAAAAAAAGCCAATGGGATTTTGGCCTGCATCAAGAGGAGCATAGTGTCTAGATCTAGGGAAGTCATGCTCCCCATGCTCTATTCCGCTTTGGTTAGACCACACCTGGAATATTGTGTCCAATTCTGGGCACCACAATTCAAGAGAGATATTGACTCTAAGCTGGAATGTGTCCAGAGGAGGGCGACTAAAATGATCAAGGGTCTGGAGAACAAGCCCTATGAGGAGCGGCTTAAGGAGCTGGGCATGTTTAGCCTGAAGAAGAGAAGGCTGAGAGGAGATATGATAGCCATGTATAAATATGTGAGAGGAAGCCACAGGGAGGAGGGAGCAAGCTTGTTTTTTGCTGCCCTGGAGACTAGGACGTGGAACAATGGCTTCAAACTACAAGAGAGGAGATTCCATCTGAACATGAGGAAGAACTTCCTGACTGTGAGAGCCGTTCAGCAGTGGAACTCTCTGCCCCGGAGGGAGTGTGGTGGAGGCTCCTTCTTTGGGAGCTTTGAAACAGGGGCTGGATGGCCATCTGTCAGGGGTGATTTGAATGCAATATTCCTGCTTCTTGGCAGAATGGGGTTGGACTGGATGATGGCCCAGGAGGTCTCTTCCCACTCTAGGATTCTAGGATTCTATGAAAGCAGATAATCTGGATCTTCCATGGCCGTGTATCTGGGGCCGAGTTCTCCACTGCTTTGTGATGCAGAAATCCAATGGGGCCCAGGCTATTATTATTATCATTATTATTATTATTATTACTATTATTGTTTTCATTCTGCTTTTGTCTCTGGAATAGGTGGCTTTCTGTTTGAAGGTCTTTCGGACGATGAAGATGATTTCCACCAGGTAAGGACAAAAGGGGAGGCCTACATCCCCGAAACCAGGCGTGGGCAAACGTGGGCCCCTCTGGTGTTTTGGGCTTCAACTCCCACAATTCGGCTGCTGGGAACTGAAGTGCCAAACACCCGGGGGGGGGGGGGGGCTTGTCCTTCCTCCCTGGGCTCGTCCTTGATCTTATTTATTTTATTTATTTATTTACTTTGCTTGTATACCGCAGTTTCTCAGCCTAACAGGCGACTCAACGCGGTTTACAACAACGGTACAACAGTCAACAATATACAATTTAAAACCATAAAAGCATAATACACAATATTGACACAACAATAACAACCCAATGCACCTCATGACTAAAATCGTGATCCAGTTTCGTCGTCCATATCTTGCCGCTCTCCCGGTGACTGTGCTGGGAGACACGCCCTTTGGCCCGTGGAGCCCAGTTTAGGGAGTCCAGTTCACCGGGATTTGCAGATTGGCACCGCCTGCCGGGGCTTTCTTGAGAGCGCCTCTTTTTCGGCCAGGGTGGGGGTTGGAGTTTCCACGCAGGGATCTGTCTTACGGATATTTTGGAAGGGATCTCTGTTTGTTTGCCTTGCTTTGAGGCTGAGAGAGTGTGACTCCCAAGGAAAGCACAATGGGAAGCAGGAAAAGGCAAAGGGGGGAACGGTATGAGAAGTGGAAGGGAAGAAAAAAGAGGAAGAAAAACAGCACTCGGCAGAAAAAAGGCTCCAGGCTTTGCAAAACTACAATTCCCAGGATCCCTTCACATTGAGCCATGGCAGTTAAAGCGGTGCCAAAGGGCATCTATCTCCCTTTCTTCACCCCTCCCCTAAAACATACACACACACATATATACACATTCACACACTGTGTCTGTGTGTGTATTTATGTGAGGGTGTGTGTGTATATATATTACAGAAATAATTACCAAAGGTTTACGTCTGTGATGAGAGAGAGAGAGAGAGGCCTACATACTAGGCCTGGGTAACAACAGAAAAATTTGTTTCTAAAATCGATTCGTTTTTTGGGGTTTTTTGCGTTTCACCAAACTTGGCACAGAGAGCCCCCATGGCCAACTCAACATTCTGGTGAGGTTTATGTGAGAACAGACTATGGATGATGGGACTTCAAGTACCTCCACTCACTTCCCAAGACCTCTGCAACACTCATCTAATGACCGATCAAGTCCAAACTTGGCACACAAAACCCCCATGACCAACTCTCCATCCTGGAGCAGTTTGGAGGGGGATGAACCACAGATAATGGGACTCACAGTAACTTCACTAACTTCCTGAGACAACTGCGAGTCATATAAATAACTGATAAAGACCAACCTTGATACACAATTCCTTTCTCAAATAACCCGGGCAGCGCCGGGTCCCCAAGCTAGTATATAATAAAAGAGAATGTTTGTATCGGACAGAGGAAGGAGTATGTGGCAGCGTTCTGATTGGCTGCCGCTGCGGTGCTATTTGCATATGGTCTCTGATTGGCCAGCTTCAATAGGAGCCCCTGGTGGAGAAGAGGGTTCATGGCAGAAACGGGGCATGACAGAAGGAAATTTGCATATGGTCTCTGATTGGCCAGCCTCAAATCCAACATTCCGAGATGACAAAGAGAGGAAAGGAAAGGCCGGGGGCTGGGTCAGAACACTCCCAATACAGACCGAAATAGGCACACAGAGCCCCCATCACCCACTCTACATCCTAATGCAGTTTGGAGGAGGATGAACCATGGATGATGGGACTTGCAGTACCACCACTCACATTCTGAGACCGCTGTTAACCTTATCCAATGACTGATCAGGACCAAACTTCGCACAGAGACCTCTCATGACCCACTTTACGTCCTGGTGTGGTTTGGCTGGGGATGGACCGTGGATTATGGGACTTGCAGTACCAATGCTCATTCTTCAGACCACTGCAACCCTCATCCAATTACCAAAAAATACCAAACTTGGCACACTGAGTCTCCATGACGCACTCTACATCCAGGTGCAGTTTGAAGGAGGATGCACCATGGACGATGGGACTTGCAATACCTGCACTCCCTTCCTAAGACCATTACAACTGCCAACAATGATGGATCAGGTCCACAATTTACACAGAGAGCCCGCATGACCCATTCTACATCCTGGTGCGGTTTGGAAGAATTTGACAATGGATGATGGGACTTGCAGTCACTTCACTCACTTCCTGAGACCACTGAGACCCTCGTCAATGACTCATCAAGATTAAACTTGGCACATGGAGCTTCAATGACCCACTCTACATCCTGGTGCAGTTTGGAAGACGACAGACTATGGATGATGGGACTTCAAGTACCTCCACTACCCAAGACTGCTGCAAAACTCATCTAATGACCGATCAAGACCAAACTTGGCACACACAGCCCCCATGACCCACCCTACATCCCGGTGCTGTTTGAAGGATGGACGATGGATGATGGGACTTGCAGTACGTTCACTCACTTCCTGAAACCATAGCGACACTCATTCAAAAACCAATAAAGACCAAACTTGGAACATAGAGCCCCCATGGCCAACTCAACATTCTGGTGAGGTTTGGGGGAGTACAGACTATGGATGATGGGACTTCAAGTACCTCCACTCACTTCCCAAGACCTCTGCAACACTCATCTAATGACTGATCAAGACCAAACTTGGCACACAAAACCCCCATGACCCACTCTCCATCCTGGAGCAGTTTGGAGGAGGATGGACCACAGATGATGGGATTCGCAGTACCTTCACTAACTTCCTGAGACCACTGCGAGCCATATAAATAACTGATAAAGACCAACCTTGAAACACAATTCCTTTCTCAAATAACCCGGGCAGCGCCGGGTCCCCAAGCTAGTATATAATAAAAGAGAATGTTTGTATCGGACAGAGGAAGGAGTATGTGGCAGCGTTCTGATTGGCTGCCGCTGCGGTGCTATTTGCATATGGTCTCTGATTGGCCACCTTCAATAGGAGCCCCTGGTGGAGAAGAGGGCTCATGGCAGAAACGGGCCATGACAGAAGGAAATTTGCATATGGTCTCTGATTGGCCAGCCTCAAATCCAACATTCCGAGATGAGAAAGAGAGGAAAGGAAAGGCCGGGGGCTGGGTCAGAACACTCCCAATACAGCCCGAAATAGGCACACAGAGCCCCCATCACCCACTCGACATCCTACTGCAGTTTGGAGGACTATGAACCATGGATGATGGGACTTGCAGTACCACCACTCACATTCTGAGACCGCTGTTAACCTTATCCAATGACTGATCAGGACCAAACTTCGCACAGAGACCTCTCATGACCCACTTTACGTCCTGGTGTGGTTTGGCTGGGGATGGACCGTGGATTATGGGACTTGCAGTACAATGCTCATTCTTCAGACCACTGCAACCCTCATCCAATTACCAAAAAATCCCAAACTTGGCACACTGAGTCTCCATGACGCACTCTACATCCAGGTGCAGTTTGAAGGAGGATGCACCATGGACAATGGGACTTGCAATACCTGCACTCCCTTCCTAAGACCATTATAACTGCCAACAATGATGGATCAGGACCACAATTTACACAGAGAGTCCGCATAACTCACTCTACACCCTGGTGCGGTTTGGAAGAATTTGACAATGGATGATGGGACTTGCAGTCACTTCACTCACTTTTCCTGAGACCACTGAGACCCACGCCAATGACTGATCAAGACCAAACTTGGCACACAGAGCCCCCATGACCCACTCTACATCCTGGAGCTGTTTGGAGGAGGACAGACCATGGATGATGGGACTTACAGTACCTTCACTCACTTTCTGAGACCACAGTAACCTCATCTAATGACCGATCAAGACCAAACTTGGCACACACAGCCCCCATGACCCACCCTACATCCCGGTGCTGTTTGAAGGATGGACGATGGATGATGGGACTTGCAGTACATTCACTCACTTCCTGAAACCATAGCGACACTCATTCAAAAACCAATAAAGACCAAACTTGGAACAGAGAGCCCCCATGGCCAACTCAACATTCTGGTGAGGTTTGGGGAAGTACAGACTATGGATGATGGGACTTCAAGTACCTCCACTCACTTCCCAAGACCTCTGCAACACTCATCTAATGACCGATCAAGACCAAACTTGGCACACAAAACCCCCATGACCCACTCTCCATCCTGGAGCAGTTTGGAGGAGGATGGACCACAGATAATAGGACTCACAGTACCTTCACTAACTTCCTGAGACTACTGCGAGCCATATAAATAACTGATAAAGACCAACCTTGATATACAATTCCTTTCCCCAATAACCCGGGCAGCGCCGGGTCCCCAAGCTAGTTTAGGTAATATTTTCTAGCCTGTAATCCGAGGAACAGGCCACACTCATTTAGTATACCTTCCACCCTCAAGTTAAACTATTGATGTTTATCTATTTGTTGGCCACCGTCTGCCTCAAATCATGATTCAAATGGTTCAATCTGGGTATTCATTCATACAGTCTTGTACATACCTCTGAGATTGACTCAGGGTGGATTACAACAAAAGTAACGGAGTGGCAGGCATTCGGTGCCAAACTGACCATCCCTCTACACCCGGCCTGGGCATGGGCCAACTCCCGGCCGTTGGGAGTTGTGGGAGTGGAAGTCCAGAGCAGCTGAAGGAGGGCCCAAGTCGGCCCGGGCGTGCCCTCGGGGCACCAACTCCTCTCTGGTCTTGGAAGCGAAGCAGAGCCACTCTCGGGAGCTTCTCTGCCGCCGAGCCTAAGCTGAGAGGTTTGCCGCCTTCAGTTGCTCAGCGAAGAAGCCTCCGGAAGGGCTTCCTCCCACCGTGGCCTCCTCTCTCTCTCTGTCCAAATGTGTCCAGAGGAGGGTGACTAAAATGATCAAGGGTCTGGAGAACAAGCCGTATGAGGAGCGGCTTAGGAGAACTGGGCATGTTTAGCCTGAAGAAGAGAAGGCTGAGAGGAGATATGATAGCCATGTATAAATATGTGAGAGGAAGCCACAGGGAGGAGGGAGCAAGCTTGTTTTCTGCTTCCTTGGAGACTAGGACGCGGAGCAATGGCTTCAAACTACAAGAGAGGAGATTCCATCTGAACATTAGGAAGAACTTCCTGACTGTGAGAGCCGTTCAGCAGTGGAACTCTCTGCCCCGGAGTGTGGTGGAGGCTCCTTCTTTGGAAGCTTTTAAACAGAGGCTGGATGGCCATCTGTCAGGGGTGATTTGAATGCAATATTCCTGCTTCTTGGCAGAATGGGGTTGGACTGGATGGCCCAGGAGGTCTCTTCCAACTCTTTGATTCTATGATTCTATGATTCTCTCTCTCTCTCCGCAGAGCACCAGGTCCACTCCTTCCAGCAGCACTTCCGGCTCCCGCCCGGCCTCCCTCGGCTACACGGGAGCGGCAGGACCCCGGCCCATCACGCAGAGCGAACTGGCGACCGCCCTGGCCCTGGCCAGCACCCCCGAAAGCAGCTCCCACACCCCGACCCCCGGGACACAGGTGAGGGAAGGGCCAGGAGGCATGGGGCAGAAGCAGGGGGGTGCCGCTTCCAGAACTCTGCGGACAGGGTTTTTTTTTTGGGGGGGGGGCCCTAAAACGATCTCACTCTCGATCCAAGCAGTAACAAGGTGGAAACATTCATGCATGGCCACTCATCCCACTAAGCGCTTGCTGTCTCTTCTCACATCAGCCGCACTCTTTCCTTCCTTCCGCAGGGACATTCTTCGGGCACGTCCCCAATGTCCTCCAGCGTCCAGTCGGGAACGCCCATCACCAACGACCTCTTCAGCCAGGCCTTGCAACATGCCCTGCAGGCCTTCGGGCACGTCCCCAATGTCCTCCAGCGTCCAGTCGGGAACGCCCATCACCAACGACCTCTTCAGCCAGGCCTTGCAACATGCCCTGCAGGCCTCCGGGCAGCCAAACCTGCAGGTCAGTCCGTCCGTCCGTCCGTCGGCGCTTCCGAACTGCGCTGTGTGAATTTGGGCAAAGGGTATACAAAATTGGAACTAATGATTACCCAGAGAAAGGCTAAAACAAGAAAGGAAAAGGTTAAAGGTGCCAGAGAAGCCGCGAGAGGGCGAGGGCAGTGGCGCTGGCCTTCTTCCTTCCTTCTCTTCCTCTCCTTCCCTCTCTCGCTTTGCTCCCAACGGCGGTGGACAAGCTTCAAGAGGGTGAGGCCAATGGCTCTGGTCTCTTTCTTTCCTTCCTTCCTTCCTTCCTTCCTTCCTTCCTTCCTTCCTTCCTTCCTTCCTTCCTTCCTTCTCTCTCTTTCCTTCCCTCTCTCACTCTCCTCCAACAACACTGGAGAAGCCGTGAGAGGGCGAGGGCAACGGCGCTGGTCTCCTTCCTTCCTTCCTTCCTTCCTTCCTTCCTTCCTTCCTTCTCTCCCTCTCCTTCCCTCTCTCGCTCTCCTCCGATGGTGGCACGCACCCCTGGCTGTGGACATTATTTTGGGTCTCGCAACCCACAGGCTGGGAACCACTGCTCTAGGTCTCCCTCAACTAAGTGGGGAGAAGCTGACCCTCCTGCATTAAAACATGACTGTGTTGACCTCTGAGGGACGGCTTACTCAAAAGGGGTTCCATCTTTAGACTGAAAGCTTGTTTGTTTACCTCAGCCGTGGTTTGGGCCTTTGCCGTGGTCATGCTCACGGCCCGCTCGCCCTCTCTCTCTCTCTCTCTCCCTCTCCTCGCTCCCTTCCTTCCTTCCTTCCTTCCTTCCAGAGCCAGTGGCAGCCTCAGTTGCAGCAGCTGCGAGACATGGGCATCCATGACGACGAGCTGAGCCTCCGCGCCTTGCAGGCCACCGGAGGGGACATCCAGGCTGCCCTGGAGCTCATCTTTGCCGGAGGAGCCCCGTAGCACCCCCCTTCCTCCCCTTCCTGCCTCAAGAGGTTCCCCYGAAGACCCTCCTGCCCATGCCTTGGATGCTGCTTGGTGGTGCCGCTCTGCCCTATTCTCTCCCTTGCCAAAATGCCCGGAGTCTCCATCATCGTGGCTACGCTTCCTCATTTCGCTAGGACGGGAAAGCCTTTAGAGTTGGAACGATATCAACGGTAACAAAAGCAACACGATAGTTCTCTCATCGGGCTGGAGCACAAAAGACGGCCTGCTAAAGGAGGGCTTGAGGCAGCTGCAGAGAAATGCCTGTTCCTTCAAGGCCTCACGCAACCCGCTTGCTTCCAGTATCACTTTGTGGCTCTCCAAGCCTCGGCCGCTTTTGTCCAGCTCATTAAAGCCTTCCTGTCCCTTCTGTTCCGCGTTGTCATTCGGGCTTCGCATGGCGCAGTGAAGCTGGAGGGCTGCGTTTAGCGCCAGGATCCGTGGGCGCCGAGCAGACAGTTGGCGGGTGCCCTGAAACACGGATGGGGCATCCAGGTGGCGAGAGAGAGGCTCTGCTTTTATTATAATAATAATCATAATAATAATAATAATAATAATAATTTATTTATATCCCTCTCCATCTCCCCGAGGGGACTCAGAGCTGTTCCCAGGTAGCATCACAAAACATACAAAGTAAAAACAACATAACCATAAGATTAACAAGCAAAATGTAAGCATAAATATTGTCGCCATGACACACGTATATTAAAAGTAATCCTGCCTGTTCAAGGCAATTAAACAATTTAAAAGGCCGGGCCAAGATTTGTGCAAGCCCCAAAATCCTAGGAGGGCCGGGAATGAAGTGCAACGCTATGATGGCAGGCAACCATAATATGAGGTAGGGGTCTGTGGCTGTTCAATCCGGGGCCAAACAGAGGAAGTGATCTGGGTAATTGGTAGGAAGAATAAGGCCGTATTGGACAATGTGTGGGGCTGAGTTAGAACTGGTCATTCTCAAAGGCCTGTTGAAACCACCAGGTCTTCAAGCTCTTACGAAAGGAGGGGAGGGGTGGGGCCGGTCTTATTTCCCTTGGAAGGGCGTTCCAGAGACGAGAAGACCCTCTCTCCCATCCCCACCAACTGCGCTTGAGACAGTAGTGGGACCGAGAGGAGGGCCTCCCTCCCCGGAAGATCTTCGAGCTCGTGCTGGTTCATAGAAGGAGATGCAATCGTGGAGATAGGCGGGGCCCGAACCATTTAAAGTCATTCAGCAACTACAACCTGATACGAACGGGGAATTGAGGTCAGAGGACATATGTAAAGAAGCGAAGATCCTTGTAAACAAGGATCCAAACCCTTGTTGGTGCGCCACTCGGGTGCAAGTACGAGGGGCGTACATGAAAAATTTCCCCTGTGGACCCACTTCCTGTGCACTGGGAGCAATGCAACTTGGCCCAGTCCTGAGTCCTCTCCAATGGGGCCACCATCCAGGGACACACGCTCCTCCCGTCTTCTGAAGCAACTGGTGCGAGGTGGGGTGAATCAGGAGGATGTGGTGGGATTTCAGTGCCACGGGAGCACGCTTCTTCCATGTGGGCAACAGGAGAGTTGTGACCTGGTGCCTTGCCTTGCAGAAGGCAAAGGACACCTTTGGGGAGCATGCCACATCGTCTCTTGGTTTGGATGGCCTCCCACCATTTCCAGAGCAGTGAAGCCTAGTCCGCCTGCCCCAGTGGTCCTGGTCCCCCTCGCGAGGAAATCCCTCCATCCTTCTCCGTGCTGGTCCCAAAATCCTGTGAGCGTGACCTTGCCTGCTGAGAGTTGGGCACGAGGAGTCAGGATGCTTTCATGGCATCGACTGGACTTGAGTCTCAGGATCAGAGGGATGGACCCAGATTCCCCTCTGTGTGATCACCAGGCTGTTGAGAAAGCCCTCCTGGTTTCTTTCCCTGGCACATGATTGTCAAGAGAGACGGAGAGCATCCAACTCGTTCCTGCTTCTGGAAAGGTGTGAGCAGAACCCGGGGATCCAGTGAGCGGATGCCGTATGCATGGGTGATTATTTTCCCATGGACTCCGCACTAACCTTGACGTTTTGGGCTAGGCGGAGAATTAACCATTCTCCACCTAGCCCAAAACGTCAAGGTTCGTGCGGGGTCCATGGGCAGCAATTTTCCAAAACTGTGACCTCCACTTGCTGGATGGTGTGCTCATCAAGAGCACGGTGGGGTTGCCCTGGAGTTGGAGCTGTTTGCACCAAAGTCCGACCACATTGGAATGGACGCGGCCAGTTCTGGACTCCATCCTGTGATGGGGAATCCCCACCATACGCCTCTTTCCTCCCATCGAACGTCTCCTTGGCGTGCGGTTGGCCTTGCAAGGAAAGGGACTGGAGGACCGCTCTGCCTCCCATTCTCAGACCTCGCTCCACTTCCACACCTGTCACATCAAGACGGTCCTCAGTTCTGAGTTGTACATTGGCACGTGATCAACAGAGGCTTCTGTATATCATTACACACGTGCAATTTCAGCATCCTGTGATAAACGGGCGTGGGTCAGGGGAAATCTTTAAGGAACGCCCCTTGTAATTGCTATGGGATCCTGGGATATGTAGTTTGGTGAGTCGCCAGCATTCTTCAGCAGAGAAAGCTCAAGACCTTGTAAAACTACCTGATTCCACAGCATTGAACCAGGCAGGTAAAGTGAATTCAGTCTGCATTTGAAAGAGGCAGAAACCGTTATGCACAATTACAAAGAGTGCATTTTTTTTGCCACTGCGCATTACATTTGGCCTCAAATACTATTTTGAGGGTTCATGGTTTTGAAAATTGAGATGTGCATTAGACGCAAGTAAATAAGCCTCTTAAGCGGCTTAAGCAGCTGAGGGGGGAAAGGAAGGGGCCTGAGGCTGCCGAGGATGCTTGCCATAGATGCAGGCAAAACGTCAGGAGAGAATGCCTCTAGAACACGGCCATATAGCCCGAAAAAACCTACAACAACCCAGTGATTCCGGCCATGAAAGCCTTCGACAATACCGTATTAATCGCTAGGATATTCTGAGGACAGCAGGTGGCACTCTTTGTGCACAGTCCGCACAATAGCACACAAACACGGCTGCAAATCTATTGCCCTTTAAATCGTTTACATTTCGAAAGGAGAAGTGTGTGTCCCTTTGCCCACTTCCGTTTCCACGTATGTCTTGGCAGTCTGGGTTCAGGCCTAAAAACCCTCCGACAGACCTGCTTTAGTTGCCCAACCTTGGTCTCTGTGGCCTGGCCGGGGTTTCGAAATGAATGCCGTGGAAAAGCAGGCGGACCTCTTTCTGGCGCCCGGAGGCCAGTTATAGAGGAATGCCGCAAACACAACCACAGTTCAAGTCCCATGTTTAGAAACAGCAGCAACACAATGGGCTGTTGACTAGTCTGGACATTGCAACTTCAGTGCAAACAATAACATCCTAAATAAAACCTACTACATAGTTGCAAATACAGCAATTCCAGTAGAGCTGTGGTTCTCAAGCTTCCCAATGCCAAGACCCCTTAATACCCTTCCTCATATTGTGGTGACCCCCAAACATCACATTATTTCAGTTGCTATTTCCTAACTGTCATTTTGCTCCTGTTATGAATTGTCATGTAAATATCTGATATGCAGGATGTATTTCCATTCACTGGACCAAATTTGGCACAAATACTCGATACGCCCTAATTTGAATATTGGTGAGGTGGGGGGGGGGTGATTTTGACATTTGGGAGTTGTAGTTGCTGGGATCTATAGTTCACCTACAATCAAGGAGCATTCTGCACTCCACCAATAATGAAATTGAACCAATCTTGGCACACAGAACTCCTTTGACCAAAAGAAAATACTGGAAGGTATTGGTGGGCACGGACCTTGAGTTTGGGAGTTGTAGTTCACCTACATCCAGAGAGAACTGTGGACTCAGACAATGATAGATCTGGACCAAACTTGGCATGAATACTCAATATGCCCAAATTTGAATACTGGTGGGGTTGAAGGGAGGATTAATTTTGTCATTTGGGAGTTGTTGTTGCTGGGATTTATAGTTCACCTACAATCAAAGAGCATTCTGAATTCCACCAATGAGGGAATAGAACCAAACTTGGCACACAGGACTCCCATGACCAACAGAAAATACTGGAAGGAAGGGCTTGATGGGCATTGACCTTGAGTTTTGGAGTTGTAGTTCACCTACATCCAGAGAGCACTATAGACTCAAACAAAGATGGATCCAGACCAAACTTGGCATGAATACTCAAGATGCCTAAATATGAACACTGGTGGAGTTTGGGGAAAATAGACTTTGGCATTTGGGAGTTGTAGTTGCTGGGATGTATAGTTCACCTACAATCAAAGAGCATTCCGAACCCCACCAGCGATAGAGTTGGGCCAGACCTCTCCCACAGAACCCCCATTCCTTTAAGGTATTCGCTGGCATGAGCCTCCCTCCCACCTCACACGCTCTCCCTCACACACACACGCACACAACGCTGCCATGCGCCAAGCACGCCTGCTCTCCCCTCCCCCCTTGACTGAGATGCTGACCAATCACAGTAGAGGAGGGTTTTTGGTGGGCGGATTCATTGTCTGTTTCCAAAAAGGAAGAGGAGGTAAGTTGGAGAGATCTTCAGCCTTCTCTTCCAAATCTGTGTTTCCAGGTGGTCTTTGGCGACCCCTTTGAAGCCCCCTCACAACCCCCCCCCCAAGGATCCCAACCCCCAGGTTGAGAAACTCTGCAGAAGAGATTGTGCTCTGAGGGTGCTTTTCCTGCAAGACAGAATGGGGTTGGAGTGCATGACGCATCCAATGCTATGACCATCCCTCCCAAAATCTCACCCACAACCTCCCTTATCTAAACTGCTTGGGACTATGGAGACTACAATCAGCTTTAGCAATCTACTGAAACTTAATTTGGTTGTTTTTGTGTGTGTGCGTGTGAAATCGATAGGAACGCTAGAAGGGTCTACCCCAGGAGGAGAGACCCTGCGGCCCCACCAAAGAGGGATCGCTACGTTGGTGAGCAAAGAGAAGCCTAATTTTAAGCAAATTATTTTCCCGAAGTTCCCAAAAAGAATCTCACCAAAGTTGAAGAAAGTGCCACCGAGGTTTATTAGCGATTCAGCTGAAAAGGATGCAAAGTGGCAATCATTTGCCAAGCTAAGCATGCGGTTACACAAATAAATGCTATTTTTATAGAAAATACAGAGTTGTGGATGGCCATCTGTCAGGGGTGATTTGAATGCAACATTCCTGCTTCTTGGCAGAATGGGGTTGGACTGGATGGCCCAGGAGGTCTCTCCCAACTCTTGGATTCTATGATTCTGTGTGTGGTTCAAATCTCCCGCTCCCCCTCTTGCCCAGCTTGAAGGGCTGACACGCAAACAGCTGGGAGGAGGCTTGGCCATCCCC